CTCAATCATATCGTAATCCAATGACTGGTTGGGTTGCATCACTGGACAACTCATGCAGTAGAAGGTTAATTGGCAAAGACCCCATCCAACTGGCTAAACTACTGAGTTGAGAAAACTGCCGAAGCACACAGTTCAAACTCCCTTGAGTCAAACTGGTCACTGTAAGAGCCCCCTGGGCTAGCCCAACCACATCAGAGAGGGAGCTGAGCAGCAACACAAGACCATGATTTAACCAAGGTCACCTGGGAAATCAGGGGCAGTGCCAGGGATAGAACCCAGATTGGAGTCTGGTGCTTTAACCAAAAGACTGCTGTCCTTGTCCTGTTCCCCCTCACTCCCGGGTCACTGGAAGCTCAGTCTTCTGTGCAGTGACCTTTATAGTACTTCATAGCTTCTGTCCCTCCATAATACTAGAGGTTGGTTGAGTTCTTAGGGCACTATCCCAAATCAGGCTGGGGGAGGACTTTGTTAGGATGCTGCTGTGGGAGGGCAGCTTGATAGACCAGATTTCAGCCTGAAGTGAAGTAATGGGCATGTATTGTCACTCCAAGAGCCTTCTCCATTTCCCAGGATTCCTTTCCTTGGGTCAGCCCTTCAGGAATGCAGACCAGCTTTGCTGTGTGAGAGGAGCAGTCTGTCTCACACCAGCAACCCTCAAACACAGCATAGGGCAGCCAGATGATCCTAGCAATAGGGGCTTGTCTTTATCACACTGCGACCTTACTGAGCTCCCAACTCCCTTAGTGCAGAAAGTGTTGTGTTAGGGAGCAGTATCCAGAGTAACCTGCATTATAGACACAACAGAACCACAGTGAAGCCATTAGCAGCCATCTCCTTCACAAATCCCTGTAATGATGGTCTTATGTAACTACTGACACATCTGCAGCGTAATTTAAGGGCTTTGTTTACAATTGTAAGTTAATTCGGATCAAAGTAGGGTGTGGATTTCAAGTGTGATCTGTTCTGGAATAACTCATGTGTGGACAAGCCCTAAAAATCCTGATTTTTATTAGGCCACAATGAATGGCATTGGGATATTTCAACACGGGATATTCTGCTGTTAAATTGTGAGCAAATCAAGTGTCTGGTGTAGCACAACCAGGAAAGAGGGCTGATTATCCCCCTCACCCTCAGCTTTATCACCAGCTTCTCCCGGATTTCTTCCTGGGATGAAATAGGAAGGTGGCGCCTCACTAAATGGCATAAAAGCTGCTAGGGTCAGGCAGCCAGCAAGAGTCAATATGCCGCCTTCTGGGGCGATGAAAAGCAGAAGGAAACGGTCTGAGTAACTGAGCTAAAACTGGTAAAACAGGAATGTGAAGGGCAGCGCAGTTGTGTTCACAGGACAGGGTTTGTGCTGAATGTATCCTTGGACAGGCTGCTGCAATAGGTGCCTTTTAGATCTTATGGGAGCAAGAAGCAGCTTATGGCTGTAAACTCTGGGAATGCTCCTCTACACCCGCAGGTTTTGGGCAGAGCTTAATTGCTGAATTAACATTTTCCTATCAAATAAAGCTGTTACAAGCTAACCACGTAGTTTAAAACCTAGTGGATATTCATTGGAGGCTGAATAAATCTGAAAACGTTTGTGTCAGCAGAGCACTAATAATTGCTAAAGGAGTAGTGCTTCAAACATGGGAATCCAAAAAGCAGTCAGCGATTAGAGCATAGACAACATAAGCCAGACTGCTATGGAAAGAATTGGACACCATAACAGACCCTCAGATGTAGGATGATTGCCTGGAAGGATCTGAATGGTTCTGTTAAATGCATACCCTGCTTCTTGCCCTTCCTCTGAATTTTGCTTCTCTTCTTTATCTTCTTCTAATAAATGTTTTCCCCTTCAGTTTCTCTGTATGTAGAATAAAGCAGAATAAGATTTAAAACTAGTTTGTTTTTTATAAACCAATTGTAAACTGTAATGCAAACGATTGATTCATATGGTGTATAATCAAATCTTGAAAGATTAGGTAGCAGCGGGTTAATATGTTGAGAAGCTTGCCTATGGAGGGATGTGGGGGGGGCTGTATGTGTATATTGAAATTTATAACAAGTTAATGGTGGGAAGAAAGAAACCGCTTGTGGGCATGTCCGGCTGTTGGAAAGCAATGCCCCCCCCCCCCCCCCCCCAGGATGGCTGCTGCTTTGGTTGATTGGGATCTCACCACGGCTGTCTGGTGGCTCCCTTCTGGGCAGCCCTGGGCCCTTTCCCCAAAGTAGAATGGGCTGTGGGGAGCCAGAGAAGGGGTTTTGCAAACAGCACTTTGCCCACCTAACCCACTATCTCTGTATGGAGGGTATTCGTTCTCAGCCCATCCCGCCGTGGACGTCACTGCTGCTTTGGTCCTGCCGGGCCCAGGTTCCTTCTGGCATCCTGTCCCCCCTCAGCTTTCCTGACTACTACCTGGTTCTCCTCCCTGTCTGGCTGTTCCTGGAGGGGATTCTGCTCTGCTCTCCATCTTCTCCCTCTACACTCTCTGGGTGAGCTCACTTGCACGATCTCAACTATCCTGATGCTGAAGGCTCAGGATCTGCCTCTGCTCCTGACCCGTCTCCCTCCAGCCGACCCTGCACCTCGCCCGGCTGCCATCTCCTTTGGAAGTCTGGCTTTCAGCTTGAATGTAGCATGACAAAGCTGTGCCCGTGTCCTCTCCTTTTCAGCTGTTGCAATGATGGACTGGGGCTTCTAGGTGCTGCAGTAATGTATGTCCTAGGTCAGACTCCTCTCCCATCAGTGTGTTGTGGATTGGGGGTGGGGCGCCTCAGGAGCTTGTCCCATGGAAACAACTAACCAGTTCACTTGTCTAGCGTGGATGGGCTTGGCGGTCCCAGGTTGCTGGCTCATAGGGTTTCTATAGCCTGTTAGGTATTTCCATCGGTGGGGGAGGGGCACGGGTGTTATGAAATGTGTACATCAACTTTTTTCTAAGCAGCTGGCCAGCCCCATGCAGAAAAATCAGTGGGGAGTGTGGTGCCCAAGGCACACTGCCAGTGGGGATTGCACTGTACCAGGCGGCCCCAGCCCCTGAGGGGCGGGCATATTGCGTGCATTGCCCCAGTTGCATTTCCTGGGTTGATGCTCTTTAGTGGCAAACCCGGAGTGCTGATTCTGCTGCCTTTCCATGTCCTGATGTCAGGATGTGCAGTTCTCAGGCCACATCCATCTCTCATTGCACGGGTGGAATCTGTTGCTAAGTTAAATGTCCATCAGACAATAGCTAGTGTCCTGTTCCAGGAGCTGCCTCAGTGGTCATGCTCCTGACAATGTCTGCTATTGTGGGAGAATTGCTTTACAAAAGTCCCCCAACTAAAGCAGAGTATAAAGCAGTATAATGGCTGTCTTGATTGCCTGCCACTATAAATGACTTGCTGTATCTTTTAATTAGATGCACTGATTTTATGGAAACCCTTTGTTCGAACTCCATAAGTCACAGTACAGTAACATAAACACCCTTCAAGTTGGGTAAAGTAGTGAGATGGTGTGAAAATGGTTCCCAAATGCTTGTGGTACCTGCCCACATGGCCCTCACTGCATGAGGGCTCTGGCCCCTGGTGCTCTGCTGGGCTGTCCTCTGGAGTAACTTTTCGCTTTAGGTGAGATGTTCTCAAGAGCTAGCCATGCAAGTGTGCCAGGGCCCTTCCCCATCTCTGTGCATAACTCTGGGGATCTGGCTGAAGCACAAGGAATTAAAGTTTCAGGCTTCAATAAAGGGAATTTGATGAAAGTGAAGTGCAGGAGTGTCCTGGGCAGCCATGATGCTGACCTGGCTCTGTCTTGCTCTCGTCATTCCCTCTTTCCCATTGTCAGTGTGCTTCTGCCCCGGCCTGGTGGGAGCGCTGGGAAGGGTGAGTGGGATCTCATTCAGCCTCTGGTGCCTCCGACCCTGCTGGGAAGGGGCTGACCGCGGTGCTGGGGTTTTCTGCCTTGCGTGCTTGTCCAAGTGAGACACCCCCCCCCCCCCACTCCTGGTCCGTTTCAACTCAATCTAAATTCAGGCCCGTGACTTAGCGGTAAAGGGTCTGTATCCCTTAGCGTCTCTGCTGGATCGAAATATCCTTGCCAGTCCTATGCAAATAAGGTCCAGGATTTCTCTGAAGGATTGTTCAGGGGTCAGAGAAATGTTACACGGTAACTGAAACATAACTAACAGTCGGTGGCGCTGCCCTTCAGTTAACCAGCCTTGATTAAAATAAGGTTCACAGCAACGGAAGAGAGGAAGTAATCCGAATCCATAGATTGCTAAAACCTGGTGTGCCTTAACCTCATGGTAACTAGTGTGTGAGCTGTCCCAAGGGAAGAGCGCAATGAAGACATGCCACTTCAGTTTTATAGTGAGGTAAGCTGCGCATGGCCAGCGCTAGACACTCACCTGGGGTTGACCTCGTGGTAAAACTAAAGTACATTGTTGTCCCTGCGTTCTTCCCTCCGGACAGCTCATGCCAACATTGCTCCTTTTGAGTAGTGGGGGCTGGGAAGTCAGATTCCTCAGCAAAGGAAGGCATTCAAACTGGGACATGTGTAAGCTTGCTGAACAGCTGACAAGAGACAGCGTGAAGATGAAACTGGGGAGTCTAAAGTGATGTGGCAATACAGCATTACCAAGCTGACTGCCTTGAGCATTCTGATCTTAAGCAGGACTCACTTCCCGCCCCAGTAAATTGGTGGTACCGACTACTAAGAGCTGAAGCTGAATTGGCTTGTCCCCGAAGTGCTGTGAAGATAGAAGCAGTAGAACTGCCAGTGATTTTTTTTGCCCCAAGTGCGTGTGGTTATTTATCCACTGGACACCCCCTTCGTAGCTCGGCTGTTTGCAGATACCTCCTGCTTGTTTCACCCTGGCTTGTTTGTACCTGTGAAATGTTCTGGATCTGTTGCCTTTGGACTGTATTTCAGAGGTATCTGGTTGGATGCCCTGATTCGGGGATCTGCTCTGTGACACAAACTGCCTCTTTCTGTTGGCCTTCCTGACACATGCCCTCACTTTTTTCTTTTTTTCTAGATTGCCTTGGGACACCAATAGTGTATTCGCCAGTCAAAGCAGATCTTGCTGGAAATATCAAGGTAGGAAGGGGTATCCCTGAGATCCGATTCTTCAAGACCTGTATTCTCGTGGTACTTTCACCACGCCACCAAACTCCAACGACTAAAGGCTACAGTCACTAATTGTGCTGTGCTGGGGAGACTTGAATAGGGCGAATTTCTCCATTGTGAAGCTGTCAGAATGGCAAGCTGTGACTTGGAGACGGAGAAGAGGGGGACGCTGGGTTTCTGAACACTGTTTCAAGCAGAGGAGCATTTGGTCCAGGGTTGCTTCTTGCTTTGTACCCCTGCCAAGACCTCTGTATAAGTTCAGGATGGACACTGGCTCTTTGGTTTCTTTCCACCGGATCTGGCTCTGCGTTGGCTGGCCTCTCTTCAGTTAGCTGCTTCTGCTTGAAATCCCCACAGTGCCTAGAGCAACGAATACCAGGACCAGAGTTGGCATGAGCACCGAGCCAATGTCTCCAGTAGGCCTTGGGAGTATTCTTAGTTACATTGCAGTCATAAAATGGGAGCCTCTTCCGGATGGAGCCTGCGGTTCTGTGGATTTGGGTTTCCAGCAAACATGCTTTTTGGCTAGTTCATCCCTGACTTCCCCGTGTATACAGCTGTGATGCTGTCTACCAATGTTAAACACCCTGAATTTGGATAGATACTTAGACCGTTTTCCCTCCTCCTCCTGCAATGTCGCTGTGCGTTGCTAAGCTGCCTCTAATGGGAGCGTAGAGGTCAGCGCTGTGCATTTTAATTGCAATACGCTCGTTTTTAAGGCTGTAGACTGCTTTCAGGCAGAGCTCTGAAATCTTTCCTTTGGTCAATTTCAGAAAATCCGAGCAGTCTATGAATCAAATCCTACCAAGTTCAAAACGCTAAAGAACATTTTGGAAGTGGAGAAGGAAATGTATGGACCAGCGTGGCCGAAAACAGGTGCAACGCTGGCACTAATGTGGCTAAAAAGGTGAAATGTGGATTCTGTGGCTGTTGCACACTTGTGGATGTAACTCTCTGGCTCTCTAGACTCACGTGCAAAATGCTGGTTTCACTACAGAGAATGAGTCGCTCTTCTTGGTTCTGGCCTAGTTAAAACTCTGTTGCTGTTAATTTGTCCCCCTCCAGTATGTCTGTCACCTGGTAAAAGAATGCTGCTGTCTTCCATGTGTACAGTCTGTTTTAGCACAGTGGTTCTTAACCAGGGGTCCACAGCCCACCTAGGGGCTGTGAGCTGGTTTCAGGGGGCTGCGGGGCCCCACGGCTGAAGCTCAGAGCCCCAGCGAGGCTGACCTTCCCCATAAGAGTGAAGCCAAAGCCATGAGGCTGAAGTTGGGACCACCCTACCCCTCCACCCAGTGCTTGAAATCTGGAGCCCTGAGGCGTGTACAAACTCCCCCACCTTCCCCTCGCCGCCCGCGGTGGGCTGAAGCCTGGTGCCCCAGTGCCTCTGCAGGGCTGAAGCTGGGAGCAGAACTGCAGGGCGGAAGCACAGAGCCCCGAGCCCTGGTGCCCCCATGGGTCTAGAGCCCTGAGCCCCTGTAGGGCTGAAGCTGGGAGCACAGCCAGAGGGAGCCCTGAGCCTCTGCATTTCCAGCAGGGCTAAAGTCAGCAGAGCCATGGGGCTGAAGCCCCTAGCCCTGGCACCCGTTGCAGGCTCTAAAGCCCCGTGCCCCAGTGGGGCAGGACCCAGGAGCGGAGCCACAGGGCTGAAGCTCCAAGCCCCAGTGCATCTCCTTCCCCCCTCTCCTCTCCTCACCTCTCCCCCCAGGGGCTAAAGCTATGAGCAGAGCCATGGGGCTGAAGCCCAGAGTCCCAAGCAACCCCTCCCAGTGTCTGGAGCCCTGAGGCTGAACCCCCATGGCTGAAGCCAGGAGCCCTGAACTTTCCCCTGTCTCCTCTGTCCCTCCCCTCACCCCCCCAGGGCCCTGGAGTTTTTATGGTATGTCAGGGTGGGGGGGCCTCAGAAAGAAAAAAGTTTGGCCTAGACCGTGTGTGTTCCCTGATGCATACATGGCTGGAATGGTAAATTCTGGAGAGGGCCATGTGAAAACCCTGGTGCAAGAAATCCAGAGTCCTGGGACTGGCCGGCCAGCGATCGGGGCCTGCTACAGTCCCAGCCTGTTAACCTCCCTCGGGGAGGCGTTTTGAGACTGGTACCATGGGTGACACTTGCAGGGAGTTGCCAAGCTGGCAGATGCTGTTTCTCTCATAACTTGGGCTGACAGGTGATAGTTGAATTGTGAAATGCCTGATGGACTGCTGTGTGTCCAGTGCAAACCTCTCACGCCTGTTCTGTGCTCTTTTCAATCACTCAGGGGCCTGAAGTTCATTCAAGTTCTCCTGCAGAGCCTTTCGGATGGCGAGAGGGATGAGGAAAACCCGAACCTCATCCGAGTCAATGCACTGAAAGCCTATGAAATAGCCCTGAAAAAATATCATGGCTGGATGCTGCAGAAGGTCTTTTCAGTGAGTGCTTGCCTCCAAAGGGAACGGGGGAGAGACGCCCAACTGACTGGGCAGGCCTAGCTCCAGACGCAGCGCTTCATGGTGAAGGCTGCGGGGAGTCGGTGCCCAGATGCTCATTCTGTAAATGCCGTTAGTCTCGCCTGCACAAGGAGTGCAGGATTGGGCGCTGATCCGCTGCTTCTCCTTGGCTTGGCCGGGAGGGGACACCATTTTCCAAAGTGTCTCAGGATTTGGGAGTCTGCTGACACACCATAAAGGAACCTGACTTAGAGTGCAGAGCTCCTGCCTGCTGAAAACCCAGCCCCTGGGCCTCTGTCACGAGTCACTCCTGGAAATCCTGGCCAGTGGGTGCTATGTCTGGGACCCCCTCAGGGGACCTGTGGGCTCTGGGCTAGTATCCCTGATCCCAAGGAGATGCTCAATTCTGAGTAGCCAGTGGGGTTGCTATCCAAGTTTGCCATTGTAGACGCTTGTCACAGCAACTTCTGTGTGGCAGGTTGTTGGTCTCGGCGGCGCTTGTAAAAACTCACTTTGATGCAGAGCTGGGAGTGTTCCACTCGGGCGGGGCGGGATGGGCCCTAATAGAGCTAATGGGAGCCTGGGCAAGGCAGTGGAAGTTTGTGGTGGCTGACGGCTCGTCGGTAAAATGGACTACGGTGAGCTCAGAGGGGGTGTCTTGGCGGGGGGCAAGGGAGATAGTGCTGATTTAATCTTCTATCATGGGGAAGTAAATTAGGCAATTTAGAAGGAAACTAAGTTTTGCACCTGCCTTTAGCTTTAAGACTTGTGGGCCTGTTGCTTAAAGGTGCTGAGCCCATGCAGCTTCTAGGGCACATACAGCCCAAGATAGGGGCTCGTTTTATCATCCGTTTGTACAAAAGCCAGTGTGAACTCTGAAGCGCACCAGGTGTCCTGCCTACCTCTGTTTCATGACAAGTGCTTTCTCCCTCTCTTAGGGATCCGTCTATGCTCTTCCATACAAGTCGGATTTACTGAAGGCTCTTGAGAAAGGAAAAGAAGTGAACGAGGAGGAGACTCTAGAGAAGATCCACCAGTTCCTAGCGAAAGCCACTCCTATGCTGGATGCAATTTATGACATGTACGCAAAAATGAATGCAGAACTGAACTACAAAGCTTAACATTTGCACAGGACGCCTACCACCAAGTATAAAGTACACACTACCTTAATCCTAAAGTGGAAACCCTAAATCATTGAGCACTGGGGCTGCTCCCGTTCATCAAGTGACTGATTCCTGGCCTGGATATGGAAGGAATAGCCTGGTTTTCTATAGAAACAGAGCAATAAAATCATGATTGTATCTCAAATCTTCATGGAACTTCAAACACCTGTTTATCAACTGGGGAGCAATGAAACTTTCTACTCTTAACATATTTCTTTAAAACATGTCTGGGGGAATGAGGTGTAACTGACAACAATGCTTAGCTGCTGCTATTGTCTGGCTCTGCCTCCGCCTCAGTTTTCAATAAGCGTGTATCTTACGAAGACATTGGTGTATAATTTGGATTGTCTGTATATTTAGATACCATAGGAGTTTGTACTCTCATTGCAGCAGTTACCTAAGATGTCCTGTGTGCTGAAAAGAGTGGGGTTAATGTAATTAAACAGCTTGATTACACTGAGTGACTAAGAAGCCTCAAAAATAATGCCAGAAATTTGCAAGAGAATAAGCCTTCAGTGATTCCCCCCCGAGTCGCATTGAAATCTTGTAGGATTCTGAATTTTCTCCAGTGTGGGAATGGTTTCTTTTGCCTAACTATTGCTTCAGGGACAGTTACTCCAAATTAAACCACCTGTAACCTCCATATGTCTCTTTAAAAATTTTGCTCCAGAGACGCAAGTTGCCTTAATAGTGGTTTGCAGCACAACTGAGCCTTACCTTAGGACTTTGGAGGTGGGGGGAGAGAACTTAAAATAAATGCTGAAAATGAAACATCTGTTTTGAAAATTTCTTTTGATGTCGTCTGACTAGAGAAGTTCCTTCTCCTTTGGTGCCATAGGTACAAAAATGTCTCCTCACCCACCTGTTCCCTTAAATTTTACATGGAGCATCTGTTTGATAATGTGACGCTTCACTCCACAAACGTCTGGAGTCCTAGATGTGCAGTTAGATAATCCTAGTAGCTAAATTACCTATTTCAGATCCAGAGTCCTTGTATCTCCCCGGCAGATGGGGCTATTTGCTGTTTAGTAGGATCTAGCTTTAGTTCAGCTGACTTATGTTTTGCTATTTAAACTTTATTTGACTATTCTGCTCCTCACACTTCTACCAGTGTGGAGGTGCAGAGTAATGGGGCTCAAATTGCCTGCTGCTTTTTACTGCCTGTGTTTTTGTTTTGTTTTTTGTTTTTTACAGGACACTTTGGCTATCTTAACTTGACACAGAGTTCTACACTGTTGAAAGTACTTCCATGGAATCTAGCTACGCTTTCAGGTACTAGGCTCTGCTTTTCCATCCACATGCTCAGCATTAGGAGAAAAAGGGTTGGTTAAAATCTGGCCAGGTGCTCATCTGATCCCATGCTTAATACTTTGTTGATCTCAGAGCAAATTTAGTGCTGCTGGAACATGCCAGCACTGTCCTCTGTGAGCTACAGAACAGGGCAGCACCAACCCAAGCTTCCCTCTAAATGTTCCTGGTCTCAGGGCACGCAGGAAGCCCTATTCCATGGAAGGGAGGAAAAGGAGCTCAGTCACAAGCCACACTCAGGGCTTGCCATTTCTGAGCCTGGAGACAGAGAGCTGCTGTCAGCATGGCAATCGGATAAAGAATGGAGCTCGGTGCGAGAGGCAGCCATCTTACAGCAAGGTGCATAGGTGGTGGGTATAGAAGGGCAGGGCAGGCTAAGCCTCCCCTAGTGCAGCTGGTTGTGGGATTTGCAGGGGAAGTTTTTGCTTATGCCCCATGCAGGGTCCAGAGAGGCTGAGGAGGGGTATATGCTACTCAGCTTCCTGGGTTCATCAGTAATCTCTCTGGAGTCCAGGGGGATTACTGATGAACTCAGGAAGCTGAGTAACACCTACTGCCTCTTGGCTCCAGACCCTGCATGGGGCATCTCAAAAGCTCAGGTTCTTCAGAAGAAATGAGCCTTTCTGGGGTGGGGTGGGCAGTTTGGGGTCTCAGGAGGGGGAGGTGCAGCACAGCTGGGAGGGTGCTGGCCAGCCTGGGTCTTCTCTGGGGGTGGGGGAGAAGGCTGGGGGTGGCTTAGGCAAAAGGAGTGGGGCTGGGGGGCTAGTCTCCCTGAAGGGGGGGCTCACCGGCTGCCCAGGGTGAGGTGTGAGTCCTCCCTGATACTGAAACAGAGCAACTGCACTGAGTGAAGCTTCACTCCCTCTAGGCGGGTCTCTTCTCCCCCCCACTCATCCCAAGGCAGTGCCACGTTTATCACCTCCGTGGCATTGCTGGAGTCCTAGGGTGTCGGTTCTGCCTTGGCTCACGCAGCAGAGGGGCAGTGATGAGGAGCCAGCCCCTACATATGCTCACCCAACCCGGGGACAAGCTAATATCACCTGGGTACCCCCCTGCCCTGCCTGACATGAAGAGCACCAGCAGGACCATCCTGTTCTCAGTGCTCCTCTCTTTTTCCCCCCTCCCCCCCCATGTGTGGTAAGGGGCAAACTCCTCGTAAAGCTGCAGGAAAGCTCTGCCCCGTGTGTGAGGAGCACTCTCCACGCTTGCCCTGGGCCCTGAGCAGTAAGGGTTTGGCCCTGTGTCTCCTGCCTGGGATGCTGACCAGGGGCTGATTTTAGCATTCATCGGGCTATGCAGAATGTAACCCCTCGTGGAGCTGAAGGGAGACGTTTGCCCATCTTTGGTCTTTCTGTGTCTGATGTGCAAAGATGCAGCCTATTGACTTCCACAGCAAAGGGCCCTAGCCCAGCAGAAGGAGCAAAGGGGTGTAGGTGTATTGAAACAGATTCTAGAGAAATCAGCAAATCCTGAGGGGAGATTCTTTCCCCCAGAGTTTGTAGGTTGCTTTGGGCAGGTAAAACATGGACCCTGCAGGCAACAGGCCATTTGCATGATTCTTACAGCACACAGGCCTGTACGTGAGTTTGATGCTGTCCAGCCAAAAAGCACAAACAGGAACTTGCAATCTAAGGAGAAAACCTGCAACACTGAATCAGGCCAATAGCCTGGATGGGGTATCCTTGCCTGCAGGCCAGTCCTATGTTAGGGATGGAGCTCGCCTTTCGAAGTGGCTGACTTCAAAACCCCCATTATGTTTTTGGTCCTTAGTGTGAATATACTGATGATCCTTTTTGAGCACCCTACCAAACCTGCTTGCTCCTGAGATCAGTGTTAACGGGGACCTCCCTGGAGAGAAACTATGGGGAAGGAGGCAGCAGTATTGCGTCACTCTAAAGGCGAATGCTGCTGCGAGATCGTGGTAGGAATTCTGCTTTATCTGTACATGGGCTTCTAAAGCAAACAATTTGTCAGCCCTCTCTGAAGGTGACAAGCATGGGTGACCTACACAAGCAAGGGGCATCTGTGTTCAAAGTGATTCTCAATGGAGTTTGGTGGGACATCAGATTATTTGAAAGCAAGGGATGGAATGGGAGAGCGTAGTGCGCACAATGGTTAGACACACTAATGATTGGGCCTATCCTGTTCACCAGTGGGAGCACAGACACTGGCTTCAATAGAAGCAGGTCAGGCCCCTTGTCAGTGACAAACACCATTCCAGGAACATTTGGAACAGCCCCAGTTTCCAGAGCAATTCTTAAACGGGCCAGCCGACCACTGATTGCATCACAGCACTTGCTGGTGGTCCATGGGCATCTGGCTGATCCCACTGCACAGGGTCCTGCTTGTTCCCAGCTGTTCTATTAGGTTAAAGTAACCTAAAAATAAACCCATGTGTTCCTATGCTTGCTCTTGTTCACTTTACAGTCTGGCTTCTGCAGCTCATTGTTCATTGACCAGAATTTGAAAAACCCCGTCAGCCAAGCCCAACTCCCAAACAGTAAGATATGTAAACTGCCACATGGTTAGCAACAGTCTATGCTGTAGTTAGCTAGTGCATGTGATGTATCCAATTCTGCTGTCACCTACTCCAGGGTAAATCCACCCTGATTTAAACAGAGTTGGTCCAGATTTAAGCTGGTGTAAACAGGATCAGACTTTGGCCCAGTCCATTTATAGCTAAGGCACTGCCAGTATTCAATAACAGTTCTGTCTTCAGCTTTCACCCCTGCTTTTATGCACCAGCCTCAGTCAGACAAAATGATTATCCATTATCGCAAATACATTGTCTGTGGATTCAATGCCGTAGGCTCAGTGGCTCCAGCCTTGGCTATGGCAGCCTCTGCTCTGCTCCGCGTGGGCACAGAGCTTTGATACGCTTCCACTTTGCCCCAGTTACAATAACCATCAGTGCCCCAGGAATCCCCTCTTCAGACCGGTGAGTGACGGTGGGCTGGGGACGTTGGCTTGCGTTTGTCTGGAAGGTACCATGCATGTTAATGTGCTATGTTCAACAATGACACTAGAGTTATGGACTTAATTTGACCCCCTTGTGGATATGCACTGTGAAGCAGTCTTTAATTACGTGATCACATTATTCTTTGCACAGCATGCCTGCCGCATTCAGCGTCCAGGACAGTGCTTGCTTAATGAGCCGCTGTGGACCTGTGGTAAGGGGGTGATGGAAGCACACACTTTGGGGGCGGTTTCACAGGTCTCGCAGACAGCAAAGCAATGCTGAGATTCAGGAATGCTGGGCCCAGTTCCAGGTTGGAAGCGGGGTGAGTTCTCTAGCGGTTATAGACCCTGCTGTCCATCCAGCAATCCCAGCCATCGCAACTCACCTAAATGAAGAAGGCCTCTGAAGTAGGCATTATATGCATTTACACCTAAAGTAACAAGCACAATTGTGTTGCCCAAGGTTACACAGCAAGTTGGTAACAAGCCAGGAAAAGAACTCAGGAGTCCTGACTCACAGCCCTCAGCTCTACTTACTAGACCACAATCCAGGTACGTGCACAGGGCAGTAAACTAGCAATTGCTCTTTCCTGGTAGGCTTATGACAGCAGCGTCCAGGGAGTGGCCTGTCTGGAACAGAAGTCATCTTTAGAGGTCAATAGGTTTCTTCCCAGATGCTGCATGGTGGCTTCCTATGCAGCACCACCAGCCTAGTACAGTTACCCAGCAATGGGCCTTATTACACTCATGTTAAACAGGTTCCTCAGTTTGCTTGGAATGAAAATTGCTTGTTCTGCTTTATCCTTTGTTTGACAATAGCACCCCCAATGTCCTGGGTGCTGCCCACACAGTGCCTGTCCAGAAGGGACCCTGATAGACAGCTCGGAGCCTCAGGGGTCCCTGGCATAGACAGCAGAGCTGACAATGCTGGGCTTGGAGCAAGGGGAGAGGAGTCAGGTACGGGATTACCCCAGCTCACTATCACTCATATAGCCCAAGTCTCTCTCATATAGCCCAAGTTCCCCACAGCCTCACCTCCACCAAGGGGCTCGGTGACACCCAGCCCCATGCAAACGAAGCGAGTCTCTTGATCAGGCTGTTGTAAGAAGGGGCAGGCTCGCACAACTGGGGTGGCCTGGTGGGAAGAGCTGGGTGGGGTCCCAGCTTCTGTCACCAGGCAAATCCCTGGATCTCTGGTGAGGAAAGGAGAGACCAAGGCGGGTGTTTCAGGGAGGGGCCTGGGCAGAGCTGGGTGGCTCTTACTTGGCACCTCCTGACCCGCATTCCCATTGCACTAGCCCTCCTGTCTTTGTTCCAGTCCCCTTCACATTAATGAGCTCCCCTGGAGCGGGGTGCAGTATGGAAGCAAGGTGGGTCCTGGTCCCCCCAGGCCAGGCACAGAAGAGTCTGGAGAACAGGCAGCGGGTCCCCCTGTGCCAGGGCAGAGCAGGATCCAGGGTGCAGGGAGCGGGTCCCCCGGGCCCGGGCAGGGCCGGGGCGCAGGG